GGTTTAAGAGAACACTGCATAAACTGAGTTTATGCTAACCCTGCTAGTTAACATAATTATATCACATAACTTCAAATACAAGCGTAGATTGTGTGAATGCGTTCTTGACAACAGTTAGACTGAAAGAAAGAGTGAACCAGCACTATGGTGTTTAACTGTAAAACTTTAAAATACTTCTTCTTAATGACTACTTTTTAAACGTTTTAACTTCTTGATATCCTATCCGAAGCAGCGAGATTGCCGCACAGATGACCGAGCCAATGGCCATGTAGAAGACGTTCTTCCAATTGCCGTTTTTGGAAACAATGCCCGCCAAAAGTGGGCCAATGCTGGCGCCTATTGAGCCAGTGCCATTGACAATGCCGGAAACGGTAGCCATTGCCGATTTGGAGGGCACCTTGCAGGCTAGATTTGCCGACACGGTGGACATGATCAGACAGAAGGGGCCGTTGATGAGCATTCCAGTGGTGAACTGCAGCACCTGACTGATCAGGATGGTCGACGCTGAGGTGTATCGGTCTAAGCTGTACAACTGCAAAAAAAGGTTTTCATTAGAACGGCGCATTTTTTCAATCACTCCTAAGTTTACCGATGGAATGGCAAAAATGAGAAAGAATATGCAGGTTAGTGCACTTGTCCCGGTACGGTCGGCCATCAGACCGGCAGCCATTGAGCCTACACATCCGCCAATGTCAAAGATAATTGACACGTAGGCAGATTTAGATGGGCTGATTTGAGCTAATTGAAAACAAAGTAGCATTAGCAAAAAATATCAATAGCAATTCAGTTTAGTACATACTGGTCTCTTTAAGAAAAAGCGGCAGCCAGTAGAGAAAAGTGTAGCTGACAAGTTTAATGAAAAACTGCGCTATTGAAAACTCAATGACACCCTAAAGTGACAAAAAGAATGATAATATTAGAAACATTTTCACACACAAATAGTTGCTCAAAGTTTACCGGAATCATCAGCGCTTTCCAAAAGGAGATCGCCTTACCAGCTCCCAGATCTTCTTCAATAATCTTTGTCGTTTTCTCCAAATCAACCGTTCCGCCAATGTCCAGTCCAACATCCGACGGTTCTAAAAGTACATGAAAGTTTTTAAAAAAACAAAAACTTAAAAACATCAAAAAAAATTTGGACTTACTGGGCACCAGAAAGAGGAGCACCACCACCGCCATGACCATGCAGATGATGCCCGGGACGATGAAGCTGAAGCTCCAGTCTGTCTCGATGAAGGCCCCCGCGACGATGCTGCCCAGAATGGTGCCCACGCTGCCGTGCCAGTTCCAGATGCCGAAGATGAGGCCCTTCTTGGCGGTGCCGAACCAGGCGCCCACAATGGCCACCATGGCGGGCATGGTCGCCGAGGCGTAGCCGGCCAGCGCCTGCAGCAGCACAAAGTACCACAGCTGGTGGAGCTGGAGGGGGCGCGAGAGGCCAAAGGCGGTGGCCAGCAGGCCGCAGCAGGTGAGCGAGGTGGCGAGGAAGAGGCGGATGTTGAGCCGGTCGGCGACGTAGCCATTGCCGTAGGTGCCCACCGTGTAGCTGAGGAGGAAGACGGTGTCCAGCAGGCCGAGCAGCTGCTTCCCGTCGGAGCCGTCAAAGGGCGCCCAGCCGCAGCTGCGCTCGCTGGCGTTGTGCGCCCGGCCACTGGTCACCAGCAGGTGGCTCCACTGTTGGCCACTGCTGGTCCCATTGTGAATTGACATTAAAGAGGTCGCCTGGCAGGCCTCATTGTGGAAGACCGCCTTGGCAATGGACAGCGGCCGACGGGAGAGGCGGTAGGTGGCGTACAGGAGGAAGGTCAGCAGGAGGACCCAGCTTCGGTGGAGTAGCAGTGTCCGGGACGTCTCGTGGCCGCTGATGGCGGAGATGAAGGGGCCGAGCACCTTGCCGCTGGTCGCCTTGTAAATCATGGCTGGTTTTCCAGTTGGTGAGATGTTTTTGCAGGGCACAAATATTAATAGCGGTAAAAAAGATCTGATTTTTAGAAATCACTGGCTGCAAAAAAAAGCTTTTTAACTGTGAAATTTTTTAAACAAAATGTCTTTTTGTAAAATGGTGCAGCTCTTTTGTTTGTTTTTAAAAAAGTTAATTTGAAGTTGATGATAATTTTGAAAATACACTGATTTTGCAAAATAAAATTTACAGTGGACCATTCTTTAGTTGATTAGCGGCTGTTTATATATGTATATCGGCGACAGTGGACAATAGTTTGCATTTGCACTTTAAATTAAAAAATCAAAATCAGTTTCTTGAAGCACTTTGCTATCTTTCTTACGCAACAGCTCTCTCCGCATTACACTACACCGTTGTCACAAAAGTGTGTTTGTGTGTGCTTGTGCAGTCAATTGAAGTGATTGAGCAGCTGATGCGCCGTCTTGATAGCACCAAAGTGTGACCGCTTTAAAGCGTAAAGGTTTTCTGGTTCAATTAGTGAGACAGGATCTTCCTGCGTCCTGGGAGGTTGCGCTTCAGATTACGACGATTAGCACTTTGTTCTTAAGAACCCGACAAGTGTTGTACACGCACTGTGACTACCAAACAGCAGCAGCAGCAGCAGCAACATCGGCTACTGACATCGGTTCATGCTGTTGCAGTGATCACTCTACTGAGTTTAAGTTGCCAAAAAAGTGTACTTTAGTAAGCAGACTTTGAAATATTGCGCTAATCTGCATGAATGAAAACACATTACCGACAGTGTGACATCACCTGTGAACAGGTGAAATCTAGTTGAGTGGCAGTGAGTGTGTGTGAGTGTGCATTTGCACCGTGACCAAATGGACAACTGTACCTTGCAACAACAGTGTAATATCGCTGCTGCTTTTTGCACAATGTCAATTTTATTTGTTTAGCTTAACTTTAAAGCCGAACACTGCTAAAAGTGCTCACAAAGTGCTGTTGCTGGTCTTGCTGCTAAAGGCCAGTTGCCTGAATAGCCTCAACACGGAAATTAGTCGCAGTCAAAAGCAGCAGTTTGCTTCTTTTGTGACACTACCAGAAAACCGGTGATTAGGGAGAATCGGCGGTGGTTACTGCCTGGTTACAACTGCTGTCACACTGCAAACACATCAACACGGAATGCTTTAATATCGTTGTTTGCACTTTTATTTGTTTGCGTTGCTTCACTTTCCTTTTCCCGGCAGTGTATGTGACGCATCTCTGTAAAAATAATAAAAAATAAAAAATTAGTCAGTTTTTGTTACTAAGTAAAAGTTAAATGCTGTGCATTACCTTTTGTAAACTGTCAAAAAA